AAAAATTAAAAAAGAACTGATGATGATTACAGAACTCAATTTAAAAGTGATTTAACCATTGCTGGGGTGGAGGGGGTAGGGAATGTTCTAAAACTGATTGTGGTAATGATGGTACAACTCTTCTTGTCATGATTGAACCATTGACTTGTGTGATATGAGGATTAAATGCCAGTTGGAAGAACCCTGGCTCATCGGTGTACGAAGGAACACAGCTGCTCCTGAGAGCAGGAGCTGGGCAGGGTTGGCAGGGGTACGGGACTCTCAGTACTTTGGCGGTGATGTTTCTGTAAAGCTAAAACTGCTCTTTAGAAAGGTGCTTGGCATCATCAAGTCAAGTCCGACTCAAAGCGACGGAGAGAGCTGCCCCGTGGGGTCTCTAAAGCTATGGGTACAATCACTTGTTTTTTTTCTCCTGAATGGTGGTCAGTGGGTTTAAACTGCCAACCTTTCGGTTAGTGGAGGGCTTACTGCTTTGTGGCAATACAGTCATTCAACAAAATCAGACAAACAAGCTACAGAGATGTAAATGTCTGAGGCCCTGTGTTGTGCCCAGCCCTGCCTGGGAGCAGTCTGAGGTGGGGCAGGCTATGGAGGAGGAGACCCAGCAGGTATCAGCACTCAAGGTGCTGTGCCAGTGGCAATGTGTGGAGTACCTGCTGTGTGCCAGCTCCTCGCACAGCCTCATAGCCTGGGCTCAGGGGGCCCTCAGTGACAGAGAGAGAACCCAGACACAGACAGACAGAGATCAAGAGACAGACAGGGGGCTGCAAGGGTCAAAGAGAAGACAATGGGAGACAAACCCAGGCAGGAACACCAGGAGAGAAAGAGGCAATAACTGCGAGAAAGACAGACAGGCAGATGGAGAAGAGAGGCAAAAACTAAGAGAGACAGACAGACAGGAACCAAGGTGGCAGAGGCAGGACCCTTGCCCCAGCCCCCAGGGGTTGAGGGAGAAATCCAGGTCTGAAGGAAGAACCCATCAGCAGTCAGGCAACTTGCCCCCACTGCCCACCCCTCCCCCACTCCCAGCTAGAGAAGCAGCCCTGACCCCAGGCTTTTTGCTCATCTCCTAGAGGACCGGCTGCGTGTGCGAGTAAGCAGTGTCCAGGGCGGGCTGGCAGGCAGGCTGGCGGGCTCACTGGGACCCAGCAGCAGTTCCCTGGCCACATGGAAGGCTGGGCCGCCCTCTAGTGGCCGGTCACGGAAACTCAGGCTGAGAGCCTCTGGGCAGAGAAGACAATAGGGGCTGGGAGAGGAGAAACCCCTTTATGGCAAATGCACAGTCAGCACTCAGGTCCCACAGGTCCCAGCACACACTGGGGGTCTGCTGGGAGAGGAAGTGGCAAAGAAGGGCACCCCGGACACTGCACACCAACCCCTTTGTTCAGGATGCCACATGCTGCCCTGTCCCTGCAGGCAAAACCCTCAGGTCCAGAAGCCTGGTGAGGGGGGGCAGCTCCACAAAGTACCACCCCGATAACCCATCCCAATGGGACATTTGGGCTTCTTGCACCAACTGTAGGCTCTTTGGGTGAAGAGAGATGATGCTTCCACTAGGACACAAGACCAACAGGCAAGTTAGCCCCTGGGCAGGAGGGGGCCGGGTACCCCTAACAGCTCGGACTCCCAGACAGCAGAGCTCACCTTACATGCCGTTCCCAGGAGGGCACCGTCCCGGCTCCACGCTGCACTCTGCACCAGGTCTCCATGGGCCGCCAGCTCTGTGGAGAAGCAGCCGAGGTCAGGAGGGGCCCTGGAGCCCAAAGGGTACTTAGGAGGGGGTGCAGGTGGGGCAAGCTTGGGTAACTTCAGGGGCTGAGACAGTAGCTCCACACGGCTAAGCTTCTCCCTGGTTCCTGCCCCACAGAAACGGAGATAATAAATGTTGGTGGGTGTGTGTTTCAAACGTCTGACTGTTGGGATAACTTGTTACACAGCACGCAGTGAGGGATATGCCACAGCTGAAGGCCCTGGGTAGTGGAAACCAATGACGTACCCAGCTGTCCACCCAGAGGTGCCTAGCAATAAATGAAGCACAGTTCTACTCTCCCACACAAGAAGGCGCTCTGAGTCAGCAGTCTGGGACCTGTTTGCATTATGCTGAACTTCCCAGGGGGGAGTGGCCACTCCTGAGAGAACACTGTGGGCATGAACCGGTCAGGGAGCCCCCAGCACAGGGCCAGTGGTGCAGGAAAATCAAAACATGACCCATTGCCACTTCCAACTTCCAGGGGCCTGGCAGGACAGAGCAGCAGAGTCCTGGAGGGCTTCTGGGGCTGTTAGTTTTCCAAGAGCGGCTCCAACTGCATCCTTAAGAATGATGTCATCTAGAGGGGAGCCCTGAGGTAGCTGTTACGCTGTGCATGGCCCTGGGCTGGCAGGGCACTGGCTGCTGCTTTGCTCCCAGCCCCAGAAGTGGGAGAAAGTCGCCCCAAGGATTTCAGCCAATGGAAGACACACCGCACGGCCACCTGTCTGTCTCCCTCAATGTCTCCCCATTTCCAGGGTGCGAGTGTGCAAGAGGACTCAGAGAAAGACCGTTGAGATCATCACCGTACCACGCAGCTCAGTCCAGCGTCCCACGAGCAGGCTGGTAGCATAAACACAGAGGGCACGATGATTAGGCACTCAGCTGCTAACAAAAAGGTTGGAGGTTCAAACCAACCAGCAGCTCCGAGGGAGAAAGATGTGGCAGCCTACTTCTGTAAAAGATGGCAGCCTAGGGAAGCCCGTGGGGCTGTTCTACTCTGTCCTGGAGGGTCACGGGGACAGCAAACAACAGCTCTGGTGGCTCAACAGTTAAGCACTTAGCTGGACCCTCTCAGCACCACCTCAGGGGAATGACTTGAGATTTGCTCTCGTAAAGACGAGAGCTAATTTAGAAACCCTAGCCTGTCATGGGAAGGGGGGGGTCACTACGAGTCTGAATTGCCCCGATTGCCGTGGAAACAACGTGGAAAAACAAGAACATGTGTGAATGTGTGTGTGTGTGTGTGTGTGTGTGTTTGCGAGTGCGAGCGCGCTTTGGGGCCGGGAGGAAGAAATGCTACAGAACAGTGAAACCCTCACCTCTCCAAGTAGGAAGTTGGCGGAGTTAATTTTCAAATCTGAAAACGCTCAAGAACTCCCAGTATACGGTTTGCAGGCTATGGACGACACTGGAATCCCCAGATCCCCACATGAATTAAGCCTCCACTGAACTCCCCGGCTCACTGAGCAGGGATGCGAGAGCCTTGTCCTCCAACAGAGGGCAGGGGAAAGTGGATGACTACAGGGTCAGGTTGAAACTTAACGTCTTACTGTTTACTTTCCTTTTTGGCCCCTTTTAAACTTGTTTTAATGTTTAGTACTTTCTGCTTTCTTTTGGATTGAGGCTTTTCTCTGGATTTATTT